TATTTGGTGTATGTTTTTTCAAGAATGAAATCACAGATTGTTGTTTTCCAGGCACTCTTGAATCTTTATCAGGATTAGTTCCATTTACTTCTCCAACTAAATAGTTCAATCCAGGTAAACCTTGCATGAAAATCGTGTCGTTTCGTTGAGGTAACTTAGTACCATTGAAAGAGTAAACATTTTCATAGCCTTCGGCAATGTTTTTCTTCATCTGAATGGCTGTAAACCAGTCCTCAAACGCGACGTTTCCCCAGTTAAAGAGAGTCACTCGAGCTGTCCATCCGCTCTTGTAATCACTATCAACATGCCAATTTATGCTCACCCCACAATTATCAGGACAAGGTAGTTTCTTAGGAAATGGACCGAAGTGTTTGATCGCGTTCCAGGCTTCCGCCATTTTTTCCCTGTCTTCGAAAGGGACAAGAAGTGCTTGTGGAGGGAGAAGTAACGGCTTTCTATTCGCGTCACATTTAGACGTCTGTTGACAGCCGCAAGCACAAGTGTTGCAGGGAATAACAGAATCAGCATAATAAGCTGAGAATGAAACACAACATTTGTTTTCTTTTGGCTTTGGACGCGTAATATTGCAAGAAATTTGCCAACTAGCCACAGCAGTAGAAGTCATGCCCGTTCCACTCGGATCAGGGAATCCTGTTGGATCTACTCTAACAGGAGGGCCACATTTATACGATGGATTAACCGTACCTTCAATTTTCCAATTCTGAGGCGGATACAGGGCGGTTCTGTTCATATCAGGAGGAAGTTTAAAGACTTCAAGCTGAAAAATAGACCTTGCTTTGGTCTCATTCATAGTAGGTGGCAAAAGTGTTCCATTTCTGCAACAATAAGGTATCTTTCCAAGTTTGTCATCATTTTCCTTTTCGGGTGGCAAATCCGAGATGAGTGGCTTCTTTTGACAATTCAGGACAGTAGTGAAGTCGAAATCCTTGTAATATTGTCCCTGAGGCCCGTATATGCATTCAGAAGGGTCTTTTTTATGAGTGTATGCGCCTTTCATGCTATAAATGAACTCATTTCGCATCCATTCCCAAGTCAAGTTCCAATGATCAAGACGGCCTAAGGGGCTGAGGTTGTCGATGGTAACCTGTGCTTGGTACTTGTTTTCATACGCGGATAGAACATCGTATGTGAACGAGAGGTCTCCGTATTGGCGAGGCATGAACTTGAGGGTAGTATTCTTGGGCTTGAATTTGGGGTCCCTCTTGCAGCAAGCATGCATATAAGTTTCTGCATATTTTGCAATCAGATAAATTAAACAGTTTCAGCAGTATGATCTATACTTTAAATTCTAGTACTATAAGTTTTCTGATCAGATACAAAACCAGACATATTATATCAGTTTATGTTGCTTGAATCCTTCAAAAATGTTGTTGCATCTGTGTCGGGTCCTCCAAAAGTGCATCATTTTTGGAGGATCCGACCCATACCCAATAACATATTTGGAGAATCCAAGCACATATTCATCATACACATGAAGAACAAAATCTTAATGCAAATAGACTTTAAACATAGAAAACAACGAATTATTCATCATAATTCCTGATTAGTTAAAGTCGGCTATGCGCATATTTTATATCCATGTTATAACGAGATATAATAGTTACTCTTATTTTCTTAATTCATTCCAAAAAGAACAACATTTTTCTATAGTTGAAAATTGGATAACGTTAAAAACTTCCTAATCTATCCTTAACTGCGTGCTCTTAAAAAGCCATGCATGGCATGTTTAATACCACAAGTTTTTTCTTCCTCGAGCTCGTGCCAAATCAAATATTAAAGGGCAGTCTGGTGCACTAAGCTCCCGCTATGCACGGAGTACGGAAAAGGGCCGGACCACAAGGGTCTATTGTACGCAGCCTTGCCCTGTGCATTTCTGCAAGAGACTGTTTCCACGGCTCAAACCGATGACCTCCTGGTCACATGGCAGCAACTTTACCAGTTGCGACAAGGCTCACCTGCAAATATCGTCATATAAAAATGTGAAAATGTATACTTACTGAAGCGCTTAGGAGCAGGGCATTTGTATCCATCATTAAGAAGCTTAATTGTCCTAGGCATTGGAGTTGCTTTTGGCGAAACACCAAATTGTGTTCCCTTAATCTTCACTTGCGCCGCCATCTGAGTAAAATCTCCGGCGGTATCAATCGCCGTCTTCAAATCCGACTGCGGAAACCCTGCCAATACTGTGCCGTTTTTCCCAACTTTGATCGGAAATCCGTCGCCTTCAACCGCTACAGCTCCGTCAGTTGACACTAAAAGCTCGTTATGTTGAAACCCTACGTGAACTTTCCATGATTTCAGCTCGTAAAGTCCAGTATTAATCACCGTTAACATGGAGTTAAATGCCCATGCTTGTGCTGATACGTTTTTTACGAACGGGTATTCACGTTCGCGGCTGTCGAATGAATATGAAACGAATATGCCGTCGCAGTTCTCTTGCTCCGGCGGTGGCGCGGCCGGGACTGACGACTCGTCACCGCCGCCGTAGTCTTGAGCTTTAGATATTTGAATGTTATGACATAACAAGATTAATGTAAAGCAAGAGATGGCAGCAGCATTTTTCCATGGTATTTTCATTCCTTCACTTCTTACGATCATTTGAAGGAATTAATAATGTTTTTTGTTGTTGTTTTTTTTTTTTTTTAAGGAAATGGACAATGTTGGTTGTTTTTGTTTTTATTGTTGTTGTTGTTGTTCTTGTTTTGTTAAGATGTATCGTTGTTCAAATTTTTGGTTTTCATGCAAAGAAAGTAGAGGAGGAGGAGGAGGGAGGCGGCAGGGGAAGAGGAAGGACGATTTGTTGATGCCGCGTGAAAACGCACACGGCAATCATCAATCAACTACGTCTCAATTCCAAATTAGTTAATTAATGTCGATTACCAAAAAAATAATGAACGATGTAGGAGTAAGAGAAACCATGCATCAGACAGTTAAAACGGTCTTGTAGTAATAATAAACAGAAAATTATAAGACTTGTTCAACTTCAATGCTCTTCCTCTAGTTTTCCCCGATTCTTACGGAGGACACACTGAATTTTAAGATTCTATTTTTACCAAATGAACCTTTTTTAATTTATGGTTAAAATGAAGATAAGCTAATGTCTAGAATATGCCAGCCATGGGATATTAGGCCATCCATTACAATTTCCATCTCTTTTTCTCTGTTTTTACCCTTTTTAGGACCAAAGGCAAAATGAAAAACAATGATGAAGTATTGTTTATGAGTTCACGTGAACCCATGCTCCTCTCCTTAAATCATGTATAATAATATATATTTTTTTAAATTTGCTTATATATGTGTGTGCACCCATGCTCAAAGATTCATATGGTGCAATAATTATTGGGTGCACCTGTACAAGTGAAATTAGCGGTTCAAAACCCACTCCAGACAGTCTTGTTTTCGACATTGAGTATAGATATATATGTTAAAATAAATAAAAATTTAAAAAACGTATTTGAACTTATAATTTCAAAAGTATAATGAGCTCAGGGTAAGAGACTAAAGTTAAACCCGACAAATGAGAATTCTAGATCCACCTCTTTATAATAGTGCCCCCATCCTCTTGAAATCCTGAATCCGCCTCTATGTATAACTGTGTATAATCAATGAATAATTAATGTATTTCAGCTACGAAAAGTATACATTGAATCTGATCGACTATTAGAATAAAAATCCCAAAAGAAATGCTATGAAACACATTTTTGGCATAATTAAATTCTTGTAGACATAGAGGAGTTAGATTGAAAATTTAGTTTAGCTGACATGACAAATTGTCAATTTCAGTGACGGTGTTATTTCTAAAACTCTAAGGGGTCGTTTGGTATGAGGTATAAGAAGGTATAAGAGTGGTATAAAAATTTAATACCACCTTAATACTCTGTTTGGTTAGCAAACCAGGTATAAGTTATCCCGGTATTAATTTTAACACTGGGATAACTTATACCTTATAGAAGGTGGGGTAATTAGCACCGGTATAACTTATACCTTCTTAGAAATTATGCAATTGTCATTCTTAATACAACATACCAAACAATGAATAAACAACAATCCCAACATAACTTATCCCAATATAAATTGTACCGGTATAAATCATATTCCAACCAAACGACCCCTAATATTGTTATTTAAGGGCCAAAGAGCCAGAGAAAAATACTAAAGCAACTTGCAGCCCCGCTTTCGTCCAATGGTTTCATAAAACATGCAGAAAAGGTCTTACTAAAATATGCAGCACGAGCTAAAGAATGCATTACCGACAGTCCATATTCATGTTTGTTTAGAGAATTGCAGGTTATGTTAGGTTTCCGATTAGACATTAGGTCTGCCTATTCAAGCAATCAGACATTATTGCTTATGTTGACTCATGACTGGCAACTTATTGCCCCTCTGCAGATACAGGTTCTACATCTCCAAATTTACAGCATAAGAAGTTCAGTGGTTTTCATTGGTTTCCTTTGACTTAACCATCCGATATTTACACTTACCAACCCGATTAATCCGGATTCACACCGGATAGGCTCACTAAGGGGGTAAAATCCGACTTCTAATCAAAGGTGGAGGGATTCCAACCATCCCATCGCACCCCTTGGTAATAAGCTTGGTGGTCCATAGCTCAAGAGGCTTGATATAATTCTGAAACAACTAGAACATGCGTTTCCAATTTGCTTTTTCTGTTTTTTGGTGTTCGGGGCAAAACTCCTCGTATCCAAAGAAATGCACACACTATGAGCGGCCATTTCCTCAGGTCAAAGAATGAGAAGTATCAAGCTAACCACAAATTCAATAAACTCGAAAGGCGAAATACATAAAGCGCCCCTTTAAGTTGTCCCCGACGATCATTTGAACACCTTAACTTGCCATATGACCAATCAGACACTTCTATACAGGTGTGTCTCGTGAACACTCGAGTTCAACAAGCCTCGTGTGTGAGTTACACTCGCGGATGACATGTCAATCTGACAAATTGTTGAATGACACGTGTATTTCTTAAATAAATTATAGTCTATATTAAGAAATAGTTGTTATTTTTAATTAAAAAATAAGAAAAAGACCCTACTTTCCCAACCGGGTCTCTAAAATTGTAGACATAGTTCCATGACATGTTTGATTTGCTACTATAGGTCAAATTGTTCTTCAAAACTTAGCCCGGCTGGGAGGAGATTGCCAAAAAAGTCCTTTTAGTAAACTAATTATCTACTTATATACATCCATAGGAGAAGCCCCAACAATATACTCGCAAACAAGAGGTGGTTATACCCCGCCAATGACAAAGCTTTCTGAGCAGCAAATTTTCAGGAAGTGTCTTGGAATCCTCAAGTTCGGAATTTATTAACCACCATTTACCTGGAATTGAAGAGACAGAAAAGGGAGAAAGGAAGGAGAAAGAAACGTATCTAAATTAGGGTAAAGCATGTCAATTTTTCACATTAGACTTCCATAGAATTACACGTACAAGTTCACGAAGATGTACTCACATTAAGATCAGGCAACAGTGGCTTCCTCGATGCTGCCTATATCCTCAACCAACTCTACTTTTGGTTCCAAGTCTATGAATTGATTAGACTTGCTAGCTAGGTGTGAGATACTGACCCTACCTTCACGTCTAATATAGTCAGCCACGGCTTTCATTTCTTCTAATGAGATATATATATATTTCCCTCTGTCATCCATGACACCAGAGAGTCGCCCTGATGAAATCACATCAAAATAGTTTATTGTTTGGCAAACACGGGAGGAACAAGAATTCATTGCTTATTAAAAGGACAACACAAAATCCAATCAAAACTTTAAGAGATGGAAAGAAGAATACCCATTTCTTCCAGAGAGTTGATCCGATTGATACACTCCTGCATAAAGAAATATGCAGTAATGGGTAGCACGAGGGTAATTCGAGAATAGTATATAGCTATAATGAAAAAATAATATATCCCTATTCATGTGTAGGAAGATGAGCAACTTTACTCAACAATTCACTAAGCAAAAGAAGAACATAAACTAGCTTCCTTGGATCTTCCTTTTTAGAGGACCAAATTGACGAGCAATATTCTACACAGGAAAAGAAAAAGGCAATATGGTGACCAGCATCCGGAATTGGTAAAATGACAAAGGTGCTTACCTGAGTTCTTAGCTTGAATTCTGCAGCAAGATCCTCCAATGGCACACATTTATGTTTCTGCAAGGTATATGGAAAGATTTGACCTACTCATGTCAATAATTTTCACCAAACTGCAAATTATGTATTCTGAAACTTGTTTCAGATAAACTCCCTAGCCATATATTGAAAATACAAGCTTAAGTAGATTTTGACTAATATAAAAAAGTTCTAGTGCAAAATAGAGAAAAATGTACTTATCAAGAAAGAAAAGATCCCACCACATCCAAAAGGCAAAAGATGAAGAGGAACAATGTTAATATAGTATATGAATCTTTAGTTTGTTACTAGTCAACTGGCATGAATTATAATACCTTAATGTATTCGACAAAATCAAAAAGCAGACCCTGGCTTCCATCTTGTATCTCATTTTCAGTTGTTCCTTCAGCATCAACTGAAATTTCACCTTTCCATTTCTCAAACTCTAAAGCAGCAGCTTCTTCCTCTTTGGCCTGTCGAGCCTTGGCTTCTTCTTCCTACACAGATTATTCCAGTTTTCTCAAAAGGATACTGCAACACATCAAGTTACTCCACACAGACAGATACTCACCAGTGCACGCTCTTTAGCTTCACGCTCCTCCTCCTTTCTCCTTCTGATTTCGTCATAGCGACTTTGCTTTGTTTGTTTCGATTCCCGAGAAGCTTCTTCAGCCTATATAGTCAATGAGAAGAATCACAACCAACATTGATTTTCAATTTCTAAAAATTGCATGAGGCAATAGAAATGCATGTTTCTCAGAAGAAACCGGTGTTGTTTCAACAGCCTTATTCAGTTCCGAGTTTAAAAGACTAGCCATGTGCAGTATAACTTAAGATGGTATTCATAACTCTTGGAGGGAGTCTTAACACTAAGGTGACACACTGCAAAATGAGTTAACCCATGCCATTCTTTTGCTGTTCATCAGCAAGATGTGATTTCCCCCAACCATAAGTGAAAGGCAAGCAACCAGATGCAGACTGAACCTTTAACCATCACATAAATTGAATGACACCAAAAAGATTCAGTTCCATTTATCAATTAAGTATACTACTGTTCCATTTCCATCTTTTTTTTAATCACTTATAGGTTCTAACTATTCTCCATAGTTGCATCAAGGACCTGCCTAACTTGAGTTCATAATATGCTTTATGTTTTGTTGGAAACCTTTGCTCTCTTTCTTTTTCTCTCTAAAAACTAAGAAATCCTCGAGGATCCGTGGTGCACAATTCGAGTTAAAACAAGACAGATAACAAGCCCGCCCCTCTACCCTTCTCCAATTTACCGGGCTTTTGTCTGTGGCAGAGTTTGAACCTGTGACATACGCCTAATCCACACATCATTTGTGGCGCTCATACCACTAGACCGAAGCCCTAGGGGCAAACCAAACACTCTTTCTTTTTCTATGATTTTGGAAGGAAAGGTTTATTTTCGGTTTTACTTATTGATTCAGGCTGAATCCTGAAGCTTAGTAAGTAACAACCAAATCAAGATGCTATCATTGGCTAAAGATGTTCAACATACAATGTTGTAGCTAGCAATATTTATAATGAAAAAGAACTCAAATCCTAGGCAAACCAGGATTCCTTGTTCTCTTTAACCAAGAAACTAGCTAAAATCAAAAGAGAATTCTGAAGTTAATTTTGAATTATTAAAAGCAAAAGGTCCTCCGACAATCAGGGAACAAACACATAATGATTGACAAACTATATAAGAAAAAAAGAATAAGAAAGTAAACCCTAATATAATTTCAGAATCAATCAGTCGCTTGTTCCTTCATTGCCCAGTTGCAGCAGATATTTGGAATGTCAGAGAAGCCCTTGTGAGCTGGAGTTCATGGAAAGTTGGGAAGTCCATCAAAAGGATCTGGACTTCCATTCCTGCTTGTATTTTGTGGTGCATATGGGCAGAAAGGAAGCAAAGATGCTTTGATCGTATTTCAACTGCCAACCATACTCTCAAGGCCAGATGTTTGGTCAATCTTTTTAGTTGGGTTAACCTAACCCCCTGTATTAAGTCTGGACTCTTTTATGGAATTTATCAGCTCCTTAGCTGTAATTTTTTGTCATTTTGGGGCTGATAAATTCTCTCTTATGTAATCTATGCATCTTCTTGATGCTTTTGGTAATAATATTCCCACTTCAGTTCAGTAAAAAAAAATCCTAAAATAACTAAATTGATTTACAGGCCTATTATAGCAAAATAGGGTGCTAGATGAACATTACTATTTTACCCCCTCTATTCCCATGTGAACTCTCCTTGGGTCAAACAAAATTTGTCCCAAGTTTTGGTTTTCCATGATTATTAGGTGTCTATAATTCATTACCGCCTCAATTAAGAAAATAAACTAGAGAAAAACTAAAGGTTTGATAAGCATAGAAATGTATTTAAACACTTGTATGCTCATACTATACATTGCTGACATATTTCTGATAATAGCTAATCCCATCATTTGGACATTTTTCTATCCCATGCTTAATCTATGTTGCAATAATTACAATCACCACACCCCTGCAAAGCGGAGCATAGGAATCACAAGCATCAAGCTTGTTACTAACAAATTGTACTTGTTAAGATCATAAAAATTTTGCTATATAATAAGGTTCAGAACGAATAACTTGCAAGGATAAAAGGCTTAAAAGTCTGAGGTACCTGTCTTTGTGCTTCCCGCTCTTGACGTTTCTTTTCCTTTTTCTTTGATGATTTTGCAGTATAATATCCATCTCCAGCAGCTTCATCATCACTGTCATCACCCAGTTCTGCAGATATTTGAGAAATAAATAGAAACATGAATCAGCCACCTAAAGCATGGGCGCAGCAGTTAGGGGACAATAATCAGCAAGAACTAGGCCACCTAAAAGTCACTCAGCAAAGACATCTTTGTAACAAAGAAAAGTAACAATAATCATGACATTGTCCACGAATGGTAACCCTTTACTTCTCGTCCTATTCAATAACTTTACTTATGAAGTTGCCACAATGAGGACGAACATAAAGCAACAAGCTCATAGCCAATCCAATAAGCCATAGCTATTTAGGCTCATGTTGAAAGAATGAAAGGGACTCCTCCTGTAGTCTTATCTTGCATTCTACTATGAAAAAGGGGCTCAAAGGTAAGAAACAGTGGCCTATTTCTTTTTACCCTTCAACTTGAAAGTTGAAACCAGATGAGGATGATAATTGCGAGAAAAACATCACATAGAAAAAGTGATACTATATCCTTAGATTTTAACAGCATAAACAAGCTAAACAGATAAGGAAATAATATATAAATAGACATTACCAGAAGAAAATTAATCACACAGTTCCAATAAAGTAAGAGATCTGGTAGAGAATACCATCTATAGTGGCTGCAGCCGAAGATGTGCTAGCAGCTGAAGAAGCTGGTCTTCGACGCATTCGACGCGTACCAGTGGCTCTTATTACAGCTTCCCTCTGCTCAACCTGATATTTAACCAGTAATGATTTCAGTTCTTGCTAAATTTACAGCATGTGTTAATTTCTTATTTCCCCAAATTCGATGACGCTTGAACAACATGAGGCACCTTTTACAAGTCCCTCCTGTAGTGTCACCTTAATGAGTGTATTAATCCTGACATCTAAATGTCTATTAGTCCCTCCATCGCAAATTTATATGACACTCTTTCCCCATTTCAGGATATCCCAAGATGTTCCAACATAATTCCATCTCTTTACGACTTTCACACTTTCAAGAATTCAAAAACGATTCAAACTTTAACATGATGTGATATTTTCTTTATCAAACTAACTTATAACCATTAATCTAATATTTTCTCCCGCTGTCATAAATATATTCAAATTAACATCTTAAACTCATATCCAGTCAAATACTTTTATATGAAATGGGACAAGGACAATTGATTATCTGCTTATATCAAAATTTTAATCTTAACATCAGTTCATAATCTTCTCAAACCCCGATGACAGTGTCATACCCCCCAGCAGATCACTCTTTACTTAGGAAGGTCAGAGAATCAATCCCCTCTCCTAATCACTTTGTACCAGAGAACTTACAAGTATAATCCTCTTAAAATCCCAAGTTTGTAACAGAAGACAAGCAGCAAGACACAATCGACCAAAAGGAAAAGCAAGTCAACCTGAGCTTCATCTTCATGTTCCCTGGAAGACTCAAAATTTTGGCGGCGCCTCCACAGATAAAGTGGAACTAATGCTAAAACCAGAAGCATCGACAGAATCGCTACCAACATGTCCTCCATTTTTTCAATAGTTAGCGCAGTATCCTGTCTGATAATGCAATACACAAGGCATGATAAGTAAGCTACGAGAAAAAACATGTCCTCCACTGAGTTTAAGTTTTATGCACTGACAGTGTAAAGAATTTTTACACCATCAGGCCACTTAAAAGTTAATTGTAAGTAACTCCGTTTAATTACAATTTCTATGCACTGACGGTATAAAATATTTACACCATCAGGTCAGTTAAAAGGCAACAGCAGGTAATTCTCTATACAAACATTAATTGGTAACCTTCGGAAAATGGAAGCAATCTTACACAATAGGTGAAAAATACACACATAGTGTAGAAAAAAACCTTTACACTGTCAGAGCATATAACTTAAACATCTTAGTAATAAATGGTACTATGTAACATGCTATGACATGTTAAGTTCCACTTACACTGTCAGCGTATATAGCTTATTAATCAAATTCCTTAAAATAGACCAGAAAAACTCGATATTACACGGTTAGGTTACACTGATTTGGACATAAGGCGGTGTTTCAGATCAGTTGACTTCACATGATTGAAATTTAAATGAGTAGAAATTGAATTCAACCAAATTGAGCAAATTAACTTGTCAAACTTACAAAGAAGACTAAAAATTAGATTTCAATCTATTTACGCAGAAGGCAAAGTACTGTAACCGAATTACAGTCCGTATTCCACACGTTAAACGTACGTTAAACGTGATTAACAATTGGATTAGGGTTTTGTAGTAAGAGTAACGGGAAACAGGATGTAGGAGAGAGAGAGGAGAGGGAAACTACCTGAGAAAGGGATTGCCGGCGGTCGCCGGAGAAAGAGAAGAAAAAAGAAATTCTCGAGACGATCGTCTGACGGTTCGATGGACGTGGATGAAACAGAAATTGGCGGGCCGAAATGATGAATAAGAACTCGGGTCCAATTTGAAGTCTATTTTGTATCACAGTGTGTTGGGCTCTCTCCTTCAGTAATATTTTTAGCCGCTTCCAAAAATAATTACCGACAAAATATATATTTTTTGTATATATAAGTACTAGTATTAAAACTCGCGCGATGCGCGGATGGTACTTTTGAAGCATTACCCTCCAGGAACTTTAAGTGTAATCCCCTTTTAAATCTTTACAATTGGACTAATAGTTAATGTTGCAGGTAAAGAACAATCCTTCCTCATTTAAAGATACTGACATAATTATCAAGCTATGAATGACCTCATCGGGTATTTCATAGAAATAAACCTTGCCGCTTTTACTAAACTACATGATTTTATTGAAGTAATAAGATTAACGGGATATAGAAAGTTCAAACATGAATATTGAACGTTTGAGTTTGCTAAATGTGGCAATAAAAACATATAACTGACAGTTCTAATGGAGCAAAAGAGAAAGATATTCTATTACATTGAATAGTGGGGATAACAATTTCTGTCTTTAATTAGCATTGCTAGGCCAGGCGATTCCAGTCACACCACACGCTCAAGCAAGCATTTAGTCTGAGCAATAAAATTCTTAATTAAGAACTAAATATACTTTAAAAAAAGAAAATTAAAATGGAAAGAACCCCTTTTCTTGGATTTTCCTTTATACACAACTTGTTGGTTGAATTACACTGGAAGTTGTTCCTGCAGCATTAGCACAAGAAGCTTGAGCAGCTGGTTAATTCTGATAAGTGAGATCTACATCTGACAAGCCTTCAACCATAACCTACACACAACAACTAAATTATCAATCATATCCAGTAAAAGATTAAAAAAGTATATCAATACAACTATTGTTCATTCAAAACCTATAATAGTAACAACAAACAACAGATAATCCCGACATAATGTTCCACTAAGAAGATGATAAAAAAATATTTGGGGCATATTTATATAATGGGAAAAGTAAAAGAAGTCTTTCTAGCAATGTAAAATAACATGAACAGTAAAAATAATTGAGAGTGCAACATAGCTTTAAGAGATTTACATGATTAAGTATTTTGCTTATACTTAGCGCTAACAGAAGTTAACACACATTGGAGCTTCACGGTAGTTCTCCCCAGAGAAACTATTGAATTAACTTTCTATACATAGAGCTAGTACTTCTCAACCCCCTAACAGAAGAAAATGTAATAATTCAAAAATTGCAGTTATGAAGATATCTTGATATCCTCTATTGTGTTGCTGAACCTAGTTTCATCTCCCCCCGCCAAAACAACAGTGACATATTTATTGGAAAAGAAAATAGTAAATACCTGATAATTCCATCATGTCTAGATTCATCTCAAACCAAATTACGGAAAACTTCTTTATACACCACATTTCTAGCTTCATTTGTTATTTGGCCATCATCATCATAAACTAAAATCTTCAACCCTTTTCTACTCGTCATGCGTGAAAGAGCAACATACAGTTGTCCATGAGTAAATACTGGCTTCTTCAAAAATAATCCCAGATGAGACAATGACTGGCCTTGACTTTTATTAATTGTCATGGCAAAAGATACAACAATTGAAAATTGTCTTCGCTGGAACTTAAAAGGTATTCTTGCATCTGATGGCGTCAACGTCATTCTCGGGATAAACACTTTTTGTCCAGCCATATTACCCGATAAAACCTTGGCTTCAATAACTCGATTTCCAAGTCTTGTGATGATCAACCTCGTGCCATTACACAATCCTGATGACTGGTCTATATTTCTCAGCAACATCACAGGAACACCAACTTTCAAAGTAATAGAGTGATTTGGAATTCCAGAACATTTAATACTGTTTAGGAATTCGGGTGTATGTACGTGCTCCAAAGCTGAAAAAGAATGATCAGACATACAGACTGTATCAGAACTCAAATATGTCTTCTCAGGACTATGATTGAGTGAAACCATATATTCATTGATCGACTCCACCATATCAAGAGTCGGAGCAAGAATTGCTCTTTATTGGAGGTAATCAATGTCACTGGAATGATTAAAGAAATCTGGATATGTACTTTCAACAATTGCCGATATTGGATCATCACAATTATTTATGAGAAGATCATCGGGGATTTGGACTTTCTCAATGCCATCAATGGAACTCCCAATCCTTCCATCACCGATTGCTAAAATCCATTCAGAAAATTTTTTTAACTCATCCAAATGTGCATCTAACTTATCTCTTTGTAACCTCATATTCTTTGTTAGATTTAAGACTTCACAGTGGGCCCACAAATACGAAGAATTAAGAGTAGCGTTAACAATATCTTGCCTAGATCCTTTTGCAATGATAGGCAAAATTTGTCTGAAGTCGCCACCAAGAACAACTGTTTTACCTCCAAAAGGTTTATCCGCACTGGATATGTCTTTAAATCTAAGAATTAGAACCCAAAGCTTCGAGGAAAGCCAAGTATTACACACAGAATATTTGTCTACATATAAAATTAATTTTAATTTAATAACACACACACACACACAAATAGAATTCAAATCTAATATTATGATCCGAGTACCTTGAAATTTGTGAGCTTTTATTAGCTGCATAACCACTATGACACGTTGATTGGGTGATCCATCCAAGTGGGGCAAGATTTCATCTACAAATTCTCCCCAAAATGTTGCTGAAATATTGTTCCTCCTATATGTAAAATACACAAATTAACAATGAGAAAATAATAATGATTAATTCTATAACTAATTCAATTCATTGTTGCAAGCGTACTCATGATCCTCGAGCTCCAAGTTCATAAAGGTACTTATTTTACCACCTTGGTTATACGATTCTACGTTACCATGATCAATAACTTCTCCTATGACATCTGCCACATTTAAGTAATAGTTATGAATAAGGTGATAAAACATTCAACAAAAAATAGTGAAAGGTAAAACAATTACCGAATAGTTCATTCTCATCAACCTCAACTTGATTTGTGAGATGCTGAAAAGGCTTAAAGTTGAAAATATTCGAACTAAATTGTGGATCACTAATTTCATCCACACTCGTCCTATGAGAAAATGTCAGTTTCAATTTATGTTTGTTGGTCTTAATTTTCATATTGTTTGGTCCAACCACAAAATTTTTCATAACATACAATCCTATTTCATGTATTTTTGTTTTGAAAATACGCATAACAGCTCTTCCAATAGTTGCATGAATTCGATCGCCCTAAAACAAAAAATGTGAAAAGAAGTTAGTAAGGCGCATAAGTTCTTAAAAATACATCACAGCTCGAAAAAAATAACAACATGTAAAAGACTATGCACCTTTTCATCTTGAATAATTAATTCGATTGAATTAGAATTTTCCGGTTTGACGCGGTCTGGAATGTGCCACAATCTAACAACACGAACTTTCAAATTCCAACTCATTTTGGACATTGCTATTTCGCTGATATAGTTATAGGTTGGAGCCATACTTTGGCGAAGTTTGTGTGAGAGCTAAACCCTAAGCAATGTAGAGAAGCCAAACCTAAGTAAAAGTTGCTTAAATAAAGATTTGTAAGAAAAAACTATAGTAGTAAATCAATTTATAAGGATCTTTGGCAGAAATTTGAACGTATGATCTTTCTTGGAAGATACAAAATATTTATTTAGATAAAAAATATTTATATTTAATTAATTCTTTCTTAAAAAAGAATACCTACCATAGCTAAATGATACCTATATTAATGTATATTGTTCGCAAATAATGTCAGATACAAAGCTTGTACTAAATGTAGAATTATTATTTCAACTTAACATTAATATGTAAGGTACTTAGAATTATATTAATTGATTCTTTCTCAAAAAAGAATACCTACCATAATTGAATTAAAAATACTTACAAAATATTTTTGTGATTTGGACGTCCAACAGGTTCTCAAAAGAGAACATTTTTTGTTTAAATTTTAAAATATTTGGCTTTGATTATTTTATGAACTTTTTTCATCTATTTTCTTTAATATAATATAGATGTAAGATACAAAATATTTATTTAGATACAAAATTTATATTTAATTAATTCTTTCTTAAAAAAGAATACCTACCATAGCTAAATGATACCTATATTAATGNTAACATTAATGTGTAAGGTACTAAAATTATATTAATTGATTCTTTCTAAAAAAAAAAAGAATACCTATCATAATTGAATTAGATACAAATTATCATTAAAGATACTTACAAAATATTTTTGTGATTTAGACGTCCAACAGGTTCTCAAAAAAGAACATTTTTTGTTTAAATTTTAAAATATTTGGCTTTGATTATTTTATAAATTTAGTCTATTTTCTTTAATATAATATAGATGTAAGATACAAAATATTTATTTAATTAAGTCTTTCTTAAAAAGAAATCCTACCACAATTAAATTATACTTCCATTAAATATTTTTCTATTTATAATCCAATTTTTTTATGTTGTCTTAAAATTGCCAAGTGGCTTCATTTTAGCTTGCCACTTGGCTTAATCACATTGCAAACTACTCTCCTTTTAATATAATATAGATATAGATTTTACACGTATAATATATATTCTATACACTTTTTAGCTAACAAATATAATTAGTTTTAACTGATCAGCCAATTTTGTATTTTACCCTTCTTCTTTTTTTCTAAAAGAAAATCTGGAAACACACAAACCTGGAGATTGAATGAATCAAGTAGCAGCTGCAACTTCGAACTATGATAAAGTTCATGAAGATTTTGGAATTGTAACTCCTTTTATAGAAGCGTTCTCAATATACAAAAAGTCGGATTCATAAACCAAAAAGAATTTGAGTAGGACACCATTTGTAGGTGACCACCGAATGTGAACAAGACTCCTATACGATTTGTACTTGCTTACGATATTAACGGGATTTTTTTATTTTTTCCAAAAAGATATATATTATAAGTGTTTATATATAATTACAGTTTTATCCAACTTAAAACATGCTTACGAATGATAAAAAAGGCGAACAACATTTCGATATGGCCTTGGGGTTTTATTATAA